ACTAATTAGTTTCAAAAATAAAAACCATAAAAGGAAGAAAGGAGCACAAAATAAGGGCATCATGCATAAAAATGACATAATTGAGTAGCTAGTATTTTAGAAGAGTACAGAGACATAAATAATCAAAAGACTCCAAAAAGATTTAGGTACCTAAAGATAATAAAGAGATCTCGATGAGTTATGTTATTGTGGAAAAAAGATGGAACTAAAAAATATAGTTGTCGATGATATATTTTTATATAATGTTGCTATAGAAATAAAGAATTAAAATGAGGATTTAGAACCAAAATCAATTAAAGAATGCAAACATGGAAATGATTGATCAAAATGAAAAGAAGCAATTCAAGCAGAGTTAAATTGACTTTTAAAATGTGAAGTTTTGGACTTGTAATTCGAATACTTAATGATGTAGAGCCAGTTGGATATACATGGGTATTTGTGTGAAAGCAAAATAAAAAAAAAAAGAAGTCATTAGATAAAAAGCACGATTAGTAGTACAAGAATTTCACAAAAACCTAGCATTGATTATGAGGAGACATATGGTAGATGCAAACACTTTAAGATATCTAATTAATTTGGCAATACATAGAAAATCTAATATGCACCTAATGGATATTATTATAATCTATTTATATGGCTCTTTAAACACATAAATTTATATGAAAATCCCTAAAGGATTTAAATTACTAGAAACATGTAAAGATTCTCGAGAAAACTATGTGTTTGCATCCAAATTGTGAATTTTGAAGCTCAGGCTCAACTCAATTTAATTGGCTTTAAAATAATTAAAGAAAATATTTATGAAGCCTTAGTTATTAAGTCAAGACCATCCGCAATTCACCTATAAAGAGTGGCCATGATAAAGGAAGTGCTTCCTAAATTTAAAGAAATTGTCGATCATAGGGCTTGGGCATCACGCCAAGATCATCTATAAATAAAGAAGCCCTCTCTTAACAATAGGTATCAGATCAACAAACTACCAGTCTCAGACTCTATGTCTACTACTTTATTTTATTTTCTTTTTATCATGTAATTTTAATCTTTATTTTTCTATTATACGGTTAGCATAACCTATTACCTCTTTCTTTAATTAATGCATTTCTACTTCCCTACATTTACATTAATTTTCTTTACTTTACATTCTCCCATCTAAGTGAACTGTGATAAGGGAGCTTGCGTTCCTCGTGTTTAATTAGAAGTCAGGTTCTTCCATCTTTTTGAGACCCATGTCTCTAACACGCCTCACGACACAACCCTTTTTAGTTTTGCCTAACAATTTTTAGCACACCCAATGAGACTCATGTGAAAGAATGCCTAGTACACATAAGGATCAATATGTTGTTAGAAAGAATAGACTAAGTCTTACAACTCAAAAAACTTGGCTGCACATGTAGAACATGAAGTATGAGCTAATGAGAGGCAAATAGCCTTATTGCAAACTCTGAAAGATGGGCTAAGGAACATCTCTGTTATGCTATCTAAATCATCACAGGAGCAAGCTCCAATTGGCTCGTACCTTCAGAGAATAGATGAACTCGAGGGTCAGTCTCCCAAAGTGCCCTTTGACCAGAAGATTAATAATAAGGACTGTTATAGCATCCTTCAAAGGATAAATAGCAGGCCTGTTCAGCCATAAGGGCAAAAGCCATTGGAGTCAGCCCTAGAGGGGCTGGAGTCACAAGAGCTAAAGTCATCGAGGATAGAGCCATCAAGGCTAGTATCATAGGGGCCCAGCCACAGGGGGCAGAGCCATTGGGGCTAGAGCCACAAGGGCCAACACCATCACGGCCAGAGCCATTAGAGCTAGAACCACAGGAGTTGGATTCGCAAGGGCCAGAGCTATTAGGACTAACACTATTAGGGTCACAACCACAGGAGTTAGCACCACAAGGGCTAAGTTATAGGGGTCGCAGTCACAGGGGCTAAAGTCATAAAAGTGAGCTTTACAAGGGCCCTTTCCACAATAGCTCTCTCCCAAAGGGCTTTTTCCACAAGGGCAAAAGTCACAAAGTCAATCCCTGCAGCAACTAGGTTTTATAGAACTAATCCTTAAAGTTTAAAAAACTTAAAGGGCTAATTCTAAAACTAGCTTTTGATATTCCAAATCTTGAGAAACTTTATTCTAAGCTAGATCACGTGGTCCTTAATTCTCACTTATAAGGGTATCCTTTAAGAAAAGTATCGGATCAACCATCAATTAGAATGAGAATGAGTCAGTCCTCCAAGACATGTTCATACAAAATTGACCTACGAAGGCTCTAGCTAATTTGTATGCGGGGGCCATTATTTGCATTTAAATTGTAAATTTAAAGGCCTAGGTTCAATTCAATTTAATTGGCTTTAAAATAATTAAGGAAAATATTTATGAAGCCTTAGTCACTAAATCAAGACGATCCATACTCTACTCATAATGAGTGACTATGATAGAGAAAGTGCTTTCTAAATTCAAGGAAATTGGTGATCATGGGGCTTAGGCACCAAGCCATGATCCTCTATAAATAAAGGAGCCCTCTCTCAATAATGGGCATCAACATTAACAAGCTATCAGTCTCAGACTTCACATCTACTACTTTATTTTATTTTTCCTTTCATCATGTAGTCTTAGTCTTCATTTTTTTATTGTACAGCTTGCATAGCCCACCAATTCTTTCTTTAATTAATGTATCTTTACTTCCCTGCATTTACATTAATTTTCTTTATTTCACATTCTCACATCCAAGTGAATTGTGGTAAGGGAGCTTAGGTTCCTCATGTTTAATTAAAAGTCAAGTTCTTCCATCCTTTTGAAACCCCGCGTCTTTAGCATGCCTCACAACACAACCCTTTATTTTTGCCTAACAATATGCAATTCGTTTGCATAAATTTTGGCATGGATTGAAACAATTTAGAAGAATATGGTATAACCATTTCAATGAATATTTGTTGAATGGAGGTTATAAAAATGATTCAACCTCTCCATGTATTTTTATAAAAAGAAATGGATTGGAGTTCGTTATAATTGTTGTTTATGTGGATGCTTTGAATATAATTGAAACTTTAGAAGAGCTTAAAGATTTAGTTGATTGCTTAAATAAAGAATTTGAAATGAAAGATTTTGGAAGAATAAAATTTTACCTCGGTTTACAAACTGATCACTTAACAAATGAAATTTTTCTTCATCAATTAGCTTGTATTGAAAAAAAGATTGAAGTAATTTTACATGGACGAAGCACATTCATTAACTATTTCGATGATTGTAAGATCTGTTAATAAGAAAAAAGATCCTTTTCGCCCTTAAGAAAAAGATGAAGAACTTGTTGATCCTTAAATACCATCTTAATATCATAAGTACACTAATGTATTCTACTAATTCAACAAGATTTGATATTGCATTTGCTATAAATTTATTAGCAAGATTTAGTTTTTCCCCAACAAAAAGGTATTAGAATGGAGCTAAAACTTATATCGATATCTCCAAGGGATAATTTATAAGATATTATTTTTTATATAAATGAATTTGAATCACAATTTATTAGTTATGTAAATGCAAAATTTCAATCAGATCCACATAAAGGTGTATCACAAACTATATATTTGTTTACTTGTGAGGATACAACAATATCTTGGCATTCAACAAAATAAACTTTAGTTGTTACCTCATCAAATCATACAAAAATAATTGCAACTCATGAGATAAGTAGATAATGTATTTGGTTAAGGTTAAAGAACCATCATATCCAAAAAATGTGTGGTTTATTATTAGAAAAAAAGATTCAAACAATATTATATGAAGATAATATAGCGTGCAAAGCTCAATTGAAAGAAGGATACATTAAAGGAGATAGAATAAACCATATTTTTCTAAAATTCTTTTTTACTTATGACCTTTTGAAGAGAGGTGGTATATAGATGTTTAGTAAATTCACTCATGTGATAATCTTATAGATTTGTTTATTAAGACACTGCTAACTTTGACATTTGATAAGTTAATGTATAATATTGGAATGTGAAAATTCAAAGACACAAAGTGATGGTGTCACTAAGGAGAGTGAAATGATATTCTTGCTAAGGGCAGACAATAGGGAGTAAATATTATATTGTACTCTTTTATCCTTCCTAAAGTTTTTATCCCATTGAATTTTTCAGAAAAAAGTTTTTAATGAGACAATTTTAATGAGTTTTTTAAAATATTGTGTGATCTTTTTCCTTCACTAAATTTTTATTCCAATAGGTTTTTTCTAGTAACCTTTTAATAAGGCATATTGTTTGTTATAGACATTTAAGGGGAGCATTATAAATATCATGTTATAAATACTTATAACTCATAACTTTTAAGATTTCTTTATCTTTAATGTCTTAATGAATGTCATGGAAGGATTTTGTTATTGTTAATATCTTATGAACTTTAAAGGCTACATAATGTACCATTATATGCTTATTTATATCTTTGTAAAATCAAGATAAGATTTGAATAGTTGGAGGATTATAAATAGAAATCATGTTCAAAACAGTGAATGAGAATCCTCTTCTTTTGTTTTTTCTTCCATTTCTTCTATTGTCTTCTTCTTGTTTATTTTTGGCTCTTCATATTAATTATATTTTATAACAAATATTTAAAATTCTAAATGAATTGTGAGAAAAGGGGAAAAAAGCCTAAACCCTATTGGTCATTCTCATTTTGGATGTAAATAAAAGAAAAATATATCTTTTGATCTTTGCAGTTTGTTTTTATTTTGTTGTAAATCTTTGTACTTTTTTTAATATTTGAGTTCTTACACTTTCATTTTTTAATGTTTTACGTTTATCAAAGGTCTTTACACTTTGTTTATTTAAAAACCTAGAATATTAAAAAAAAATAAAAGTGTAAGAATTCAAAACATTAAAAAAAATAAAAATTTATAATAAAATATGAATAAAATATAAGGATTAAAATATATTTTTTTTAAATAAAATATGGAAAAGTCGAGGGGTATCCTTATAAATTTGACCAATTACGACAAACAGGGAGGCCTAAAGCGGACATAGGTCGATGATATCGGAATTTCATAGCACAGCCACCATTGAGACTCGATACTGCGAGCACATTATCTCTTAGCGTCTCCGCTCTCCTTGATGCAAGCTGCATTGCCTACCATGGCGGCCCTCACTGTTCTGTCGGCTTTGCCACTCCAACCTCAACTTTCTCTGTTCGAAAATCACAACGCATCTCTTCAATCTACCTTCCATGGCGTCTCCCTCAAGCTCAAGCCATCTCCTCACTCCTCATCCCTTGCCGCCGCCCCCTCTAAGCCTCTCGTCGTCGCCGCCACCACCAAGAAAGCCGTCGCTGTCCTCAAAGGCAATTCCGCCGTCGAAGGTGTCGTGACGTTGACCCAAGAAGACAATGGTCTGTTCTCTCCTCTTCCGAGGGCCTCTTCCTAATCCTAGATCGTTTTAGAGCAGTGTTTTTGAAGTTTATAGTTTTTTAGGCTTATTGCTTAATCAGTGGAGATGCAGGACTTGAAATGCTATTAGGAACTCCTCAGTTGTTTTTGGGAGATTTTGACGAGACGATTCCTCTTTTTTGATATATAAACAATAGAGAGCCCGTTACCATGCTCTACAAATCGGTACGATGGAAAACAAAATGAAGTAAATTTAGCCAAAAAGAAATTAAGAAAGGATTGGCATTAAGTAATATATCGAGTTTGTGGGAATTCCTGCTCATGCATTTCATTCCGAAACTTACGGTTTGGTGAACAATTGTAATCGTCAAACACGAGAGTCTAGTACTCCTGTACTTTGGTTCGTTCGCTGTTACAAATGAAGACCGTCAAATCTGCCAAGTCAAGTATTTCTACATAGATTATGTTGAGTAGTTTTCGTTCCGTCTAAATTTTAGTATTTATCTGTTTCAATACTTCACCATCTCTTCCTCTGTAGCTGAAAGCTTCTAAATGGAGCAGAAGTTAAATACCTCTGCGTGATGTGTAGGCCCAACAACAGTTAATGTCCGAGTTACTGGCCTTACTCCAGGGCCTCATGGTTTTCATCTAGTGAGTCTTTTCTGATTTTGCAAATTTGGTCCTTCTTCAGAATACTTTCCTAAACTGTGCTACTTGTTTCTCTTGCAGCACGAGTATGGTGATACCACAAATGGATGTATTTCAACGGGTAAAGCTTGACCTCTTTTTCTTAAGCTCGCAGTTTTTCTTTTCTTTAATTGTTTTGCTGATAAGATCATGATTTTTGCTTCTCTAATGGCATATATATAGGAGCACATTTTAACCCTAAAAATATGACACACGGTGCTCCTGAGGATGAAATCCGTCATGCGGGTGACCTGGGAAACATAGTTGCTAATGCTGATGGTAAATACATTTCTGTCTTCTTTTTCTTCTTCTATTTTGAATTGTTACTATGTTTGTTTACCATTTCGTCTCGTTTGCATCATAGGAATCGCAGAGGCAACCATCACAGATAATCAGGTGCTCTTTCTATTTAAATATGTCTTCTTGTGTGTTCTACAGCCTTGGTCTTAAAAGTGTGTGATTGAGTTCCAAATCATAATGTTAGGAACTGCTGTAATTCTCCTTGGTTGTAGCTAATTTTGTGCATGAAACATACAGATACCACTTAGTGGCCCCAATTCAGTTGTTGGAAGGGCCTTTGTGGTTCACGAGCTTGAAGACGATCTTGGGAAAGGTTAGTTTCCTCCTCCTCTTTTTTCTCTGGGCTTACAAATTCTGCTGTAGAGGAAATTATTGTTACCAACTCCAGCACTACCGTCTTAAAGTAGATTAACGGACAATGAAAATGCAACATGATAATATATTAATCCTCGCATTGCTATCACAAGCTTTTGGTAAAGTAAACAAATGCATGGCACTTTCTAGCAAATTGAAGAAGTGAGAATATTTAAAAATAATAATAATAATAATAATGTTGAAGGAGTGAGTATTATTGTTTGTGCTCAAATGTGCACCTTAATCCTGTACTACTACTTATAATGAGTTAATCATAACTGAAGCATTTTTTTCACTTTAGAGTCATTTACACTTTTTCGTTTTTGAATAAAAGGGTATGGTTAAAACATACAAATACAAAAAGGAGGAACAGAGGAACTTGTACCCCTCGTTTTAGTCGTTTACCAAACACTCTGATTAGTCGTTTACATTTACTTTTGTTACTTGTAGGTGGACATGAACTTAGTTTGACCACTGGAAATGCTGGTGGAAGATTGGCATGTGGTAAGAAAGATATGAATTAATACTGTTAACCCTTTTCAAATTCTTAAATTCGTCCGTTCAAATAGAAGCTTGTCATTTGCTTCGTTTGTGGCTTTGTTGTTCTTAGCTGAATGGTACATAATTTTGGTCTAATGCCTGAGAAGCTTGAATACTCGGTTCTCTTTGTCAGTGCAGTGGGCACTCACATTTCCTTAGGCCATCGACGCTATAATAAATGTCATGGTTATATGATATGAAATATGAATTAATATTGCGGTATACTTGCTTGTCTGCAGGCGTGGTCGGTTTGACTCCAGTTTAAATGCAAAACTGAGCAAGAAGCAGTCGGGGCATTTTATGGTATGTTTGCTTATTAGCCACACATGTATTGTAGACTATATATGGGGCATGGTGTGCTCATGAAGCCGAGTGTGAAATTGAATCGCGAAACATATTGGTCCATTGTCAGATTGTTATGATGTTTTTTGTGTGTCCTCCGTAATAAGATTGACTTCTCATGCAGTCCTTGTTGGCTGCCTTTGGATGGATTTAAAGTTTAAATCCTGATAATCATATCAACATTTAACATCACCTGATGTCTAGGCTGGGACGAAGGCTTCCTAGTTCGTAGCTCATGCCGCTTCTTGCTAAAAGCAGGGAGTTACCTGAACGCCGCGAGAATATTTTTTAACATGTTAAAAGTAAATGCAAGACTAGTGGGCTGGCTTTCCGTAAATGAATGGGCAATTAAGTTTAGTGGGCTGGCTTTTTTGGACTGGAGTCCCTGGATAAAGTTGTCACATTTCAACTCATAACTTTAAGGTTTAAGATTTTGGAATATATATATATATATATATATCTCTATATAAAGATTATAGATTTTTCTTTTTTATTTTATATTGGTTGTTAAGGCCAATTTTATTTAATGTGGGATTTCTCGTCTCTGTTTAAGTCTAATCACACTTGAATAACTTAAGAATTTTCTTCTCATTTTTAAATCGTTACCTTTGCCCTCAGGACAAACTTCAAGATTAAATTTTTCTTTAAACAATATATTATATTTTACATTTTCTAAAGTTAAGGTATCTTAATTTCTAGATAGCACAATTTTTTTAAAATGTTTATAAGAGGAAGGTAATGAGACAACCAACAAAAGAATTTTATTTTCATCTTCAATTTTGGCATTAATGTTTTCTAAATTCAGAATAATAGAATTAAATTCATTAAGATGAGATTGAATGGGAATACTTTCAACCATAAGAATGATATATAGCCATTCTTGGAGACGATTTTATTTACTAAATTTTTCGTTATATAGAGAAATTTTAGCTTCAACCACAATGAAGCTGTACTTGTCTCATTAATTACTTATAGTAAAACCTCCTTGGATAGGTATAGTTAAATAGCTGAAAAAGCTTTTTCATCCAATTCTTTAAATTGCTCATCGTTCATAGTTATCAACTTTTTATCCTTTTTAAGTATTTCAACCCATTTTGAGTAACAATGGCTTTCATTTGGACTTGCCGAATAACAAAACTAATCTTGTCATCAAGCCCTAAAAAGCAGGAACTTGGTGTTTGAACATTTTTAATATGGGGAGTTAGTGGGTTCACATTTGAGGGGAAGATTATTAAGTTATTCAAGTGTAAATAGACTTAAACAGATGTAAGAAGTCCCACATCAAATAAAACTATATTTAATAACTAATATAAAATAAAAAAAAATTTATAAGTTTGAACCTTATTTTAAGTTAAGACGTTCTTTTACTACTCCTCTTTTTGTTGCTTCCCTCAAAAGATATTAAATCATTTTATTGCCACATGGTTATTGTCAATTTATCGTGGCACTTGATAAATACAAAATTTAACTGGTACGGCAAAATGAAAGGGGCATGCGATGATTAAAATAACTTTAATTTAATTAGCTAAGAGGCATTAGTTTTAGTGAAGGGGTTACAATCATTTAAATACAATATTTTAGATTTGAGTTTGTATAAATGTAGGAAAATATCGTTGGGAGAATTACTCCCAATGAGCCTGACGATGGAGTTTGATTCGATGAAATAATTATATTAAAAAGACTTTGATTAAATTAAGGAAAAAAAATTGATCTCTCTCGTGTTCATGCTTGCTTGCTGAGCATTGAATATCAATTTTGGACATATGGCGGCAAGTCAGCAGGAAAGGAAGCGGCGTCGAAAGAGTACTTAAAGGCTTAAAGCATTTCTGCATTGTCCGTTGTGATGCATATGATTCACCACTGGTTTCGGCAGCCACGTCCTTTTCTAGTTAGCAGTTGAACTCAAAAGGAGGGCAACTTGACAGTAATCCATGCACGGCTCCTTTTAACCGTAAAATGAGGATCTCCCGGGGGGATCAAAATCTATACCGTACAGAGCGGAACAAAATCTGATTGTGAGGCATTACAAAAAATGAAGAGCCGGAAAAGAAATAAAAATAACAAGGGATATTCGAGGACGGGGAAAGTGGTTTGGAAGATGGGAAAAGGAAGAAGGGGATTTAATTAGGGGGAGGGAAAAATGGTAAAGTTCATTTTCTGGGTGTGAGGCAGAGAGTGGCCAATAATTAGTGATGCTCACTCAGACCCTGCCTTTTAGCTTACCCGTGACCTCCTTTGTCTTCACTCTTCAGTTTATTTTCTGTTGCTTTCATTCTTCTATGTGCCAATTCCACTCAATTTTGAGTGGCTCTCCGACGTAACCATACCAACAAAAGTTGTCATCACTATAACTAGCACCACACCATTTCCCCCTATTACTGCCACTATTTACTATTAATTACTACTCAGTATCAAAATCTCACCTCTGTTCATGTCTTTATGTATTTTATTCATTAGTGGCTTTGCCTTTTTCTTTTTGTGTGTATGATCGAGAGATTGTGGCTTTTAAGAAAGAGAGAGAATATATTCAGTGATCGATATTCAAATTTCTGCTCTTTGTTGCAGCTTTTATTGGATTATTGACTTAGCTTGCATGGGGCAATTTGGCTTGAAGGGTTCGTGCCTGCCTCTGCCTCAATGGGTGGTGCAAGACAGTCTTTTTTTCTAGTCTCATCTCTGCTGCGTTTTTACTTGACACACTGACAAGGCTACCTCTTGTCTTGCGTAATTCACACTCACACATGTTCATCTTCAATCCAACCGAAAGAGAAGGGAAAATTGGAGAAATATTATTGATATTCCTCAATTGAAATTTTAGTAGCGTCATGTACATAACTCGCTGTCAGGAAAGATGAAACGAGACCGTCACGATCAGTTATGCCGATAAAATGGCCAGAGTCCCAACAAATAATAATAACAATAATAATAATAGAAAACATACATTTTGATTCTCATATTTTGCTATAAGTTGTTGCATTTTTTTTAGTATTTTGAATCCTAATACTTTTATTTTTTAGTATTTTACATTCATATAAAGTCTCTATACTTTGTTTATTTTGATATTTTAAAACTTAGAATACCGAAAAATGAAAGTATAGGGATTCAAAATACTAAAAAAAATATAAGGACTTATAACAAAATATGAACAAAGTGTAAATATTAAAAAGTATGTTTTCTCTAACAACAACAACAACAATGACAAAGAAAATAAAAGGGGGGCAATATCCCAATTGAAATTCCTCCTTAGCAATATGCGTGTATCCACGTTCGACAGCATGTCAAATTTAATTTAAACATTTTTGTTCATCGATCCCATGGATATGTCTAGGCAAAGCCAAAAATTTACAAGACAAAGTCAGAAGTGATGATTCAATCTTTAACACGACTCGCGAACCAAAAAAACAAAGTAGTGATCACAGGTAGTGTTTTAACAAGATAGGAAACCAAAGCAATAGCGTAATTAAATATGGGGGAAGAGATGCCCTCGTCCAAACTCTCTGAAAATACCAGGGTAATATTTTTCTTCACTTCGTTTGCAGCAGAGGAGATCAAGTGATCACACCATATTTTATGTCACCTGTGTATAAATATAAATATAGGTTAGAGATAATATTTATATATACACAAGTCCCAATTGATTAGGAGACGAATTTCAAATGTTGTGAAAGTCAAATGTTGCAGCACACTAACATACCTTGGTGATAGTGTAAATAGCGAGGAGGTGGTGCTTAGCTGCAACGAACCACTTTGTCTTGAACCCCAATATAAAATCCCTGAGCGCGTGTAACATAGATGTATACGATCGAGAGAGGTGGAGTGAGGATTAGGTTTACTAATTTTCTATACATATGGTGGCCTTATTCAACCTGACATTGCACTGATCAAGCAATCCAACCTCATTTCAACTGTTGCACTAGTGCCTGACGAGCATAATTCCCACACGCTTTACCATATATATTATTATCTTCACAAATAATTTCATATATAATTACATTGTTTCAAGTGTTTGACCTTCGCATTTAACTCCAAAGTCTCCCTCTAATAATTGAAAGCAAGACCGAGCTTTTAATTAAAGTATTATATAGATAGCAGCTTGAAAAGCCTCATGTTACTCAAGGCATCTTTCACGAGACAACAGTGTGGTTGTGAGATATGGATAACGTGAAAGTTATGGCTAGGAAGAGACGGTTGGATGACTGAGAGCCCAGGAAAACAAATTTCTAGCTTGAAAGGTATAGATAATAGCAACAAGTTAGAGATGAAACCAACTTGTTTTGTGGTGATGAGTGGCTCACATGTTATGGAGTGAAGTTGGGGTGTTAAGTCCACTTGCTATTTCACTATCTTGCCACTTATATATGCTTCTGGCTTCATGCATTTCCCTTTGATCCAAGAACATCATCAGCTCCACACCCCATTAATTACCTCATACTCCCTTTGTTTTTATTTATTAAAAAACTGTCATTTTTTATTATAAATTTTTTAAATTATCTCTCATAATTTCACCATTTACAGTCATAAAAAAAGTGAGATTAAATAAAATATATTTTAATCCAACTCGTTTATGTTTAGACGTAATTAATATAGTTAACTAATTTTTTATATTATATATTACAGTTTTTTTAATGGAAGGAGTATATTATTCGCTCCTTTATATTATTACTTCATCAAATTGATTTACACCCATATAACTCAATTCACCGAGAAATTTGATTGAAAAAAAAATAATCTTAGGTACTTGTATTTTGTTAGAGTTTTGTTATAGATTCATGTACTTTTTTTTTTATATTTTAGATACTTATATTTTTATTTTTAACATTCTAGATCCTTATAATACCTTTTATGAAGGGATTTAAAATATTTAAAAAAAAAATTTAAAAATTTAAAATATTTAAAAAAAGTGTAAGGACCTGTAACAAAACTCAAACAAAATATAAGGATATAAAATTATGTTTTTTCAATTTGATTTTTTTTTCACAAAAAATCCGGCCGGGTTTATTCATTTCATTTTTCATATGCAAGAAATTATCCAGTCATACATATATATTAAATTGAAAAATATATCACATTTATCATTATTTTAGACTCGTTTTAATTAACATACATAAAAAAAATACCATTTGTGAAAGTTTATAAAGTCCCTGCACCA